CGGGCTGTGCGGTTTGTGGGCACCACAGGCAACGGCTGGCAGAGCGATATGGCATTGGATGGCATCGCCACTGGGGTCCCCACAGTGGAGTTCGATCAGCTCAGCTGCGAGTTCAGTTTCGACACCTGCCTGTGGCAGAGCACTGGTGCCTCTTCCTGGCAGCTTGCGGGCGATGCAGATGGCCATTGGCTGGAGGCTTCTGGGAACAGTTCCCAAGCTCCGGATTGGATCTTGGAGACGGCGGCTCTGTTCAACACCAGGGAGGAGAAGGCCTTGATTTTCGACTACCAGCTCTCCGGCTCGGAGACCGTGGCGTTGGAATTGCAGCACAAAACCTCTGCTGGCGGCTGGCAGCGTTTGCTGTTCGAATCGGGTGACCGCAGCGCCGTTTGGCACACCGCCATCGTCACCATCCCTTATGCTACCATAGGCCTCCGCTTCGTGGCCAACATCACTGGAGAGGCAGCTGTCGTGCGCATCGACTCGCTCCATGCAGCCAACACGCTCCGTGACTGGGGCGACATCGCCTGTAGTTTCGAGTCCAATTTCTGCGCTTGGTCCACCAGTGCGCAAGCATGGCTGCGACGTCGAGGATATAATCCGAGCTCAGACATCAGACGAGTTTGGTACATTTACACAGAAGCCAGTGGCAATGAGAACAAGGCAGGACCACTGCACAAAGCAAGGGATCAGAATCATGCACGATAGTACGTACATCTTCACAAGCCCCCGCATGCAGGAGTTCATCCTCACCAGTGACGTGTTCCACCCATCACCGGCAGCCCGGCATCTGCACTTCTCTTTCCATATGCTTGGGAACGACATGGGCAGCTTGCGAATGGAGACACTGCGAAGCAGTGGCTGGACACATGCTTGGTCACGAATCGGAGCGCAAGGGCAGCAATGGGGCCTGGGATTGGTGACGTTGCCGAGGGATGCGCGGGCTGTGCGGTTTGTGGGCACCACGGGCAACGGCTCGCAGAGTGATATGGCGTTGGATGGCATCGCCACTGGGGTCCCCACAGTGGAGTTCGATCAGCTCACCTGCGAGTTCAGTTTCGACACCTGCCTGTGGCAGAGCACTGGTGCCTCTTCCTGGCAGCTTGCGGGCGATGGAGATGGCCATTGGCTGGAGGCTTCTGGGAACAGTTCCCAAGCTCCGGATTGGATCTTGGAGACGGCGGCTCTGTTCAACACCACGGAGGAGAAGGCCTTGGTTTTCGACTACCAGCTCTCCGGCTCGGAGACCGTGGCGTTGGAATTACAGCACAAAACCTCTGCTGGCGGCTGGCAGCGTTTGCTGTTCGAGTCGGGTGACCGCAGCGCCGTTTGGCACACCGCCATCGTCACCATCCCTGATGCTACCATGGGCCTCCTCTTCGTGGCCAACATCACTGGGGAGGCAGCTGTCGTGCGCATCGGCTCGCTCCGTGAACAGGTCTTGCCACGTGACTTTACAGAAATTGCTTGCGACTTCGAAGTCGACTTCTGCAGTTGGTCCACAGGCGAGAATCCTTGGCTGCGAGACACCGGCACTCTCTGGGCAACGACTGGACCGGCATCGGCGATTCGGAACGACTGGTACACTCATGTGAATGCCTTGGGTCAGCACCAGGCCGGAGGCTCCGATTGATGATCTGAGGGCTACTGCGCTGCTGTCACATCACAGTAACATCATGTTAAATTCCAACATATCCCAACATCCTGCATGCCGCATGAACTGAGTTAGGAGCAAGCCGAAGCCTGCCTAGCCTGCGTTTTGCTGGAGTCGTGCACTTTGCAGGACTTCATGCTGAGCAGCAGCGTGTTCGAGCCGTCCGAGGAAATCCGGCATCTCCACTTCCACTTCCACATGTACGGGGAGGACATGGGCCCCTTGCGGCTGGAAGCTTTCAGCAGCGCTGGGTGGACGGAGCTGTGGGCGCGAACAGGATATCAAGGCCTTCATTAGAACCTGGCCGTGGTGCACTTGCCACCGAACGTCACGGCAGTGCGTTTCGTTGGGACCACATACTCCGGCGACTATTGGAGTGACATGGCGTTGGATGGCATCACCACTGGGCTGACCGCCGTGGAGTTCGACCATCTCACTTGTGATTTCCGTCTTGATGCCTGCCTGTGGCAGAGCACTGGTGCCTCTTCCTGGCAGCTTGCGGACAATGCGACTGACCCGTGGTTGGAGGCTTCTGGGAACCGTTCCCAGGCTTCGGAACGGATCTTGACGGCGGCACTTTTCAACACCAGGGAGGAGAAGGCCTTGGTTTTCGACTACCAGCTCTCCGGCTCGGAGACCGTGGCGTTGGAATTACAGCACAGAACCTCTGCTGGCGGCTGGCAGCGTTTGCTGTTCGAGTCGGGTGACCGCAGCGCCGTTTGGCACACCGCCATCGTCACCATCCCTGATGCTACCATGGGCCTCCGCTTCGTGGCCAATGCCACCACCAATCTCGACGTGGTGAAGCTGGATTCCTTGTGGGCCATGGAGTCTGCTGGAGCTCTGGCGGACGTGAGCTGCAGCTTCGAGCAGGACACCTGCAAGTGGGCAGGAAACTGGGGGCGCCGTAGCCTCCCCTCCTGGGAGCCTACCGAGACAGGGCCCGAGGCCGCCTTCCACGCCGAGAGCTATGCCTTTGCAGGAGGAAATCGTGATGAGGTAGGGGTAGGGGTGTGAATGCTCAAGTGCTGAAAACTCTCCGATCCGCCGCGTGCCCCTCCCGCTGGGCAGGTGTTCATGCTCAAAAGCCCGGTCTTCCCCAAGCTCGCCAACGTCTCCTACCTGGAGTTCGCGTATCACATGTTGGGGGGTGCCGTCGGCAAGCTGGAGCTATGGTACCTGAAAGCGCGCAGGTGGAGCTTGCGCTGGTCCCGGCAAGGAAACCAAGGAGCCGACTGGCTCCAGGCCAAGGTCACCCTGCCAACTGGGGTGGAGATGCTGCGCTTCGAGAGCTCCGGCGCCTTCGGCACAGCGTCCGAAATAGCTCTGGACGCGATCCTCGCCTGGGAGGGGCCGGAAGCAGCCCCGGCAGAGTTCCTCAGCCTTTCTTCTCAGGAATTCCACAACTGTGCAGTTCTCAAGGCCGAGGGCCTCCTGAAGTGCTGGGGGTACGGCGCTCTCGGCCGCTTGGGTTACGGTAGCGAAGCAGATGTGGGGACGGCTCCCGGTCAGATGGGCGAGAACTTGCCGGCGGTGGACCTCGGGGAGCCGGGCGTTCGAGTGACGGAGGTGTCCTGCGGTACTTGGTGCACCTGCGCAGTTCTCGAGACGGGCGTGCTGAAATGCTTCGGGAACAACGAGGATGGCAAGCTGGGCTACGGATTCGTCTCCCGCGGTCTTGGAGATGCGCCCTTCCAGATGGGCGAGCACCTGCCAGCCGTGCACCTGGGCCCTGGTGAGGTGGTGCAGGTGGCTGCTTCACGGGACCACACCTGCGCTTTGCTTCGAGGCGGCCGCGTGAAGTGCTTCGGCGTCGGAAATCTGCTGGGCTTGGGAGACGAGCCCGGCCCTGAGAGGGCCCTGAGAGGTTTCGTGCCGGATGGCGCAGAGCCGAGAGAGTTGAGTGAGGGCTTGGAAACTGAGGGAGACCCGTGGCGACGAGCCCGGCGAGATGGGCTCGGAGCTCCCTGCGGTTGACCTCGGCACAGACTTTGAAGCGGCGCAGCTTGCCTTGGGAGATGACCACAGCTGTGCTCTATCAAGCCAAGGTGCCGTGAAATGTTGGGGACAAAGCGACCGCCTGGGACTGGGACTTGGGGATAGTGGAGTGTACATCGGCGCCAGCCCCAACCAGATGGGTGATGCTCTGCCTGCAGTAGACTTGGGTCCCCTTCCTGCCGTGCAAATCGCAGCCGGGTATTATCACACCTGCGTCGCCGCTTGCCCGCATCCAGCGCGCTGGACTCGTTGTTTCGCATCGTGTCACATTGCCTGCGGCAGGTCCTGTCCGACGGCTCGGTAAAGTGCTGGGGTCGGAATTCCCTGGGGCAGCTGGGACACGGCAACCTTGAAGATGCGGGAGACCAGCCCGGTGAGATGGGCGTCAATCTTCCTGCCACAGATCTGGGTGATGGCATGACGGTCGTCCGTATCACGTCTGGCCAGGAGCACACTTGCGCCATCCTGCAAGATGCATCCGTCAAGTGTTGGGGCTTGGGAACGGACGGCCAGCCTGGGCCTCAGTCAGTTAGTTATTGGGGGACGTAAGAGTAAGTGCTTTGAACCTCTCGCTTTCCAAGAACTCCAAGAACTCCATAGCAACCGGCACGACTTGAGGCTTGGCCAGGGCAACACACAGAACTTGGGCGATGAGCCCTCCGAGATGGGCTCCAATCTTCCCGCAGTCCGCCTCGGCAATCTCGAGGTGCGGGACGTGAGTGCCGGTTGGGGCCACACCTGCGTGCTCCTGGACGACGACAGCACGAGGTGCGGCTGCGCTCACAAAAGCTCGCAGGGGTTCGCCTGCCCGAAAGCATGAGTTCTGCGCTGCCCAGCTCTGCAGGTGCTGGGGCATGGGCTTGTATGGGCAGCTGGGCCTTGGCAGCGCACTGAGATTCGGCCAGGTGCCGGGCGATCTCGGCGTGGCCTTGGTGCCTACAGAGCTCTTTTCCCTGACCCTCGGTGCTGGCCTTCAGGGTCTCAGTCTGCTTTCCATCGCCGGAGACCATGGCTTTGCCAGAGGGCTGCTTCAAATGCAGCACCACGCTTCCGTTGGCCTCGTCTGCGATGATGGCTTTAACGACCGGGTCGCCCAAGTGGCCTGCCGCGATCTCGGCCTGGCCGGCGGCAGGGCCATGGCACCCTTGGCAATGTGGAGCGGTGCGGGGGCCGGCGCCATCCTTGCTGACAACATTAACTGCACAGGTATAGAGGTGAGTCTTCGCGACTGCAGCTTCCGCGGGTGGCACGTGCACGACTGCGCTCCTCAAGAGGGCGCAGGCCGCTGAAGTGAAAGCTACTTGTAGGACCTCACTGCAAGTGCAATTCACGTGGAAGTGCAGGCATGACCAGAACTTGATGTTGTGTTTTTTGTTTTTCAGTGCAGGTCTTGAGTGCGAGTCGGATGCGTGGAGCGAGTACACCCCCGCCGGAAGCCCCGCCGGGCGCCAGGATGCTTCCATGGTCTGGGACAGTCAGACTCAGTCCGCGTGGATGTTCGGGGGCCACGCCAGCAACGCCTTCCTCTACTTTGCGGACCTGTGGCGCTATGACTGGCCTCGACGAGCTTGGACTGAGATCCTGCCATCGAGTGAGGGCCCCGCCCCCGGTGCCAGATGGGGCCACACAGCTGTGTGGGGTATGCATTCGCGATCTATGCTGATCTTTGGAGGCAGGGCACAAGTTACCTTCTACGATGACGTCTGGCAGTTCGGCAGCAACGACAGCACTTGGAGGCAATTGCCTGCCATGGCGAAGCCGTCGGCACGCGCCTACCACACCGCTATCCTGGACCCCTCGGAAAATGCGGTGCTAGTTTTTGGAGGAGAGAGCGGCAGCCAGGTGTTGGAGGACCTCCAGCGCTACAGCCTCGCCGACGGCCAGTGGAGCGAGCCTGGGGCGACAGGAGCCGGAGCGCGCAGCCGGCACACTGCCGTCTGGGTGCCCACAACTCGCTCCATGCTCGTTTTTGGCGGGTGGAGTGGGCAGCATTACCTGGATGACCTTCGCAGCTACGATGCTTCAGCAGGCACCTGGACCGAGTTGTCAGCTTCAGGATATTGGCCCACGGCTCTGGCTGGGCATGCCGCTGCGTGGGACCCAGTGTCAATGAGCATGCTTGTCATGGGTGGCATCACCAATGTGAGCAACAACCTCAGCTACGAGTCGTCTCTCTACAACTACAGCCTCTTGACAAACTCCTGGAAGCAAGAGGGCTTGCAAACCGAGGTCTTAGGCCCAACCGGCCGTACCGGTCATGGCATTGTTTGGGACTACGCTTCTCGTGGCTTGCTGTCCTTCGGTGGCTTCAATGTCTCCTACTTGCAGCAGACCTGGCGATACGTGGTCAGTCAGACCAGCTCGCCCTTGTTGGTCAGCTGCCAGCTGGGCCGCAACTGTTCCTTCCGTTGGAATGCCTCGGGCGTTGGCACTGTGAAACGCACCTGCTCCGACCCAGATATCTTGGCAGAACTCCCCACGCTGCTCTCTGATGAAGCGGAGGAGGATCTCTGGATGTTCGGAGGACACGCAACCCGCCTCTTTGCCGAACCGGGGCAGCACCGCCTGTGCTGGTGTGACACCAACTGCAGTCATCCCGACAACTTCAGTGTGACCGCGGGCTACTTTGTCGTGGAGGGGCCGCAGCCGCGCCAGTCCGCTCAATGCCACCTAGGCAGAGACTGTACGATTTCAGAGTGGCGAGGAGTCGGCATCTCCGTGAACGACAGCGTCGTGATGCAGAGCCGATGCAGTGGAGAGCCTCAGCCCTCCACCTACTCCCAGCGGGCGGTCACCATTTCTTTCAACGCATCGTACGGTTGGTACACATTGCACATAGGCTTCCTGGGCCCAATGGAGGGCCTCCAACCGGAAGCTTTGGAGCTTTGCTGGTGCCCCGCCAGAGGACCCTGCACTTCGGCAGAGGAGTTTCTCGTGGTCGCCCTGAACTTGGACGTCATCTGCCCACCCGGCGAGTACAACGAAGGGCCCGGCTCCTCCTGTCTGCCCTGTCCGCCGAACTTCTTCTGCCTGGGAGGTTCCGAAGTGCAGAGCTGCCCGCCCACGACCACTTCGACAGAGGGCTCAAGTCCGCCGCCCAGCAGAGAGCATCGCACGCTGTCTTGTTCCCAGAGCAACAGACCAATTGCTGTCCTATTCTGAGACTAAGGCCAGCTCTCCGACTGTCTGTGCCTTCGAGGGCGCTACTGGGACGCAGAGAGCGCCATCTGCCTGGCGTGCCCCGCTGGGTCTTCGACGTTGCAGGTGGGTCGTCTGCTGGTTCGTGGCTGCTTCGGCTTTCTTCTCTTCCTAGTTTGCTGCACTGCCCTGCTTGTGGAGGAGGGGGCCACCAGCCTTGCGTCCTGCACGTGCATGCCGGGCTTCTTCACCACGCAGCTCGACAATCCTGCAGTTTGCGAAGCCTGCGGCGTCGGCTTCTTCTGTACAGGGGGCCTGCAGACCCGGCAGCCGTGTGCACCGTCCCAAACCACCGAGAGCGACTCTTCAGCAGACGAATCCCAGTGCGTTTGCCAGGCTGGCAGCTTCTTGGAAGACGGGCTTTGTGCCCCATGTCCAGCTGGATTTTTCAAGGACAGCGTTGGAGACTTCCCGTGCTCGCCGTGTGGTACTGGCACCTTCAGCAACGGCACTGGAAGCACAGAGCCTTGCAGATGCCGACAGGGCTATGGTTTTGACGAGGAGATCGCACAGTGCAGACCATGCCTTCCGGGCGAATACAAAGCACTGGTGGGCGACACCCTGTGCAGCCGGTGCTCTACCAATAAGACCTCCATGGAGGGTGCCATGTCTCCCCTCGACTGTCAGTGCCGGTCGGGTCTGGCAGCAGACGGCGAAACCTGCCGAGACTGCAGGGAAGGCTTCTTTTGCCCGGGCCAGGGTGAAGAGCGGCGGTGCCAGGATAGCGCCACCTCACGCGTTGGCTCGATCCTGCAGGCGGACTGCTTGTGCCTTCCAGGACACTATGCCCTTGAAGCTCAGGGCATCTGTGAGCCATGCCAACCTGGACGGTACAAGCCCACGCTGGCTAACGATCCATCGTGCCTTTTCCAGTGCCCCACAAATGCCCAGAGTGCCAATGCGTCCACCAACTTAGCCGACTGCTTCTGCATGCCAGGATTTTATGCAGTTCTGGATGCAGCAGGATTGCTGTCCAGGTGCGGCAGTTGTGCTTTCCTTCCTAATTTGCAATGCTTGGGTGGTTTTCACACTCAGGCGGGTATCACTCAGGCGGGGAACCACAAGCTGCCTGTCGCCCGGCCGGGCTACTTCCAAACAGGAGTGACACTTGCAGTGAAGTGTACGGCCGTCACAGCCACTGGCCTTAGTGCTTGCCTCGGAGGGCAACTGTGCACGCAAGATGACACAGTGGAATGCTTTGGCAAGTATGACAACGCCTGCGACGAAGGCTCTACCGGGTTCTTTTGTGGAGAATGCCTAGCTGGTTGGGCCAGGAGTGCCTTCCAGCAGCCATGCGAGCCGTGCGCTGCTGGTGCTGTTTTGCCACTGGTAGCCTCAGTCATCATCGATGTTGGGACGAAGGCTGCGAGTTTTTCAGCTTTCAGTGCCAGGCAAAGCCAAGATTCAGGTTTGCATATTGGGGCTGGAAGTTTGCCATTGAATATCAGACAATAGGAAGTGTAGTGGGATGGCAGGCCACGATCAACTTCGTGGTCGCGGCCATGGCCGCAACAGCAGCCGTCAGAGCAAGCAGCAAGCTCCACACAGTCATGATCCGCATCGCCGCCCAGTGGCTGGCTGCCTGCTCCGTCCTGACGGCGTTCGACCTGAGTCAAATTCCGCTCACGGAAGACTCTCTGCTCTTCCCATGGCCTTTGCAGGTGGCGCTTCTTGGAGTGTCTTTCGGGCCCTAGATTTGACCCATACCGACCCATCTACCCTGCAGCAGGTCAGTGAAGCGATGCGAAGCATCTTCGAGACCCTCACGCTGACGCCTGTTTTGACATCTGTCGACTCGGCCACACAGTGCTTTGCCCAGGCCATGAAGGGCATGCGATGGTGCTATAAAGTTAGTAGACTCCCAGTCGACGTAGCGCCTGAAGTCCGAAACCCATCTATCAAGCTCAAATCCCGGACTGTCCTATCGAAGCTCGCATCCCCTTCAATCCTTAGACCGAGTAGGTGCATAGACACAGGGCGCCAAGAAAACATCCGCAGTCTTCCTCAAGAAAGGATTCTTGACATGTCAGCTTCTGTCTCATCATGTATTCTTGCATATTCTTGCAATGTAGCGGTTTCGGACTCTGGCAGGATGCACCACGCGCCGCCGTTGGAGTGTACCATCTCTCCTTACCTGTCCTAGTCATGATCGGCATCCTTCTGCTCTCCTTCGTGATGGTACGCATGGTGGTGCCGGTGGGGCAGCGTTTCGGCTTCTCCTTCAACGAGTTGGGACGCAGTCGGAACCAACTGCGCAAGGTCATAGACCCCATGCTCAAGGAGATGTTCCACAAACCTGTTGCTCCCGTGACCGAAGCTCCGAGTGCAGACGTCTTCTCCTGGACGGACTTGGAGCGCCTGGGTGCCTTGGATAATCTCACCACGACTCAGCTGCAGCAAGCAGCGGAGAAGCCGGACGGCTTCCTGCGCAAAGCTGCAGCCGGGTCGCGAGAGCTCCTGCTCAGTGCCTGTGCGGCCCGTACTGCCCAGCTACACCCGCAGGCCGAGGCACAACAGGTTTACGAAGAGCTGGCGCAGGCCCCCCACAGCTGAGCTTGACCTGCTTGCAGAGCTGTCTAAGCTGTGCCACTCTGTGCTGCAATCCTTGCGCAGGCGGATCTGCGACAGTTCCTGATCACAGACTTCGCCACCCAGTCTCCGGATTTTACGACAATGCTGGACACGGTGCTGGATGCCGCGTTCACCTTCAACGAGGAGACCCTGCCGGTACTGGAGGAAGGCTCTGAGCCTGGAGGCGATGAGCTCCGGCTGGTGGGCTCGGAGCAGGAACATTGCGATGTCGTCACCGTCGCCTCGCCCGATGCAATGCCCGGACCCAAGAACTGAGCGAGCCACTTGCATTCCGAAGCGCCTCCGCTTCCTGTGCTTCCTGTGCTTTGCTTGCCGAGGCCCGAGAAGACAACTCGGGACACAACAACGAGCATCTTCAGCCTTGTATCTTTGGAAGCCCGCCAAGGGATGGAGTCTCTTGACTTTGGCCTCTTCTCACCGGCACCTCGCTTCGGCGAGCTCGCATACCAGAGCGTGCCTATCATCTGGGTGACCCTGGTCTCTTTGTGGCCTGGGCTCCTGTCCAGCTTCCTACAGATGATCTGGTGCGTGACAGTTCAGGAGGACGATGTGCTGGTGAGCCGCCTTCTGCCCAACCCTTCCGTCATTTGCTG